TCAAATGAAAAATATAACAAACACTACAGGAATGACAGCATCATCCACTTAATAAATAATTACTACATCTACATTTCACAGGGAATCACTTTCTATTTACTCTACTTTCTATTTTCTAACATTAGACACAGTGTTGATGACTAACTCAGTCAAGCCTTCAAGTCAGTCCGAGATAGCCAGACTAATGTTAGGCTACATACTACATACATACATTGTCATATATATGGATTTTCTTAGTTAGCATATCCACTGACTGTGAAATTACCTGTGAAACAGCTTTTCACAGCTGGCAAACTACTTGTTTTTCCAGCCAAATGCTACAGATGTAGGCATTTTTACTGTGTATCTCTATTGGAGTGGGGAGTACCAGCATGACGGACGGTGACTCCACTTTTTTCAGGCAATCAGCAATCCAGTGAATAAACTGAGATCAGTGTCATAGACGCTCTGCTTCAACAGCAGGGGTGCGTTTGAATTTATGGGCTGCATCTTACAAGGACCCGGTCTACCTGGAATGGATTCTTCAAAATCCATTTAAATACAGAGACCGGATGACTTTTGGCTGTGAATTCAAACAGGTCCATCCTTCGGCAGCTTTTACCGCCATGCGCTCTGTCGCTTTGCAACCGTGACAGTTGAAACACAAAGCAGGAAATGAAGGAATACCTAACTTTTCAAAACTGTTACTTTTTAATTTTTTTTTTTTTTTATTGTCAAGTGAACAAAGATTTCACTCGTGAGAATCCAGAGTGGAATAAAGGTGCCAACCACCGGCTGCAAGAACAAATAAAAGCCAATGTAATGATATAAACGCAGCCCAGGATTTGCTCACGAACAACTCATGAGGGCCGACTGTATTTCAAACATGTTTGATTTTGCCTTACAATTCCTGATCAGGAGGTGCTTATAGGAGGCTAATCACACCTCGTTACCCCCTGTATACTACTCAACACAGGAAGCACGATGAGGTTGAAACTTTGCCCGATCAAAAAAATTACTGCACAACTGGAAAATTGGCCCGAAAAGGGCAAAAAATCGTACTATGTATGCCCAGCTGTACAGAAAATTAGAAAGAAGTTACACCAAAGAAGATTCTTCTGCAATTTAATAAAGATAAAAACATGTTTTCAAACAAGAAATTCATTTATGGCAGAGAAAAAAAAAAAGCAATCCCAGTTAAAAAGTTAAAATCCCCTCAGTGATACTGTAAAACAAATGCTGTCAGTTATTCTGAATCACCTGTTCGGGTATGTACAGTCTGTTTAAGGTGCCATTCAGAAAATGCATATTGATTTAACTCAGCTTCAAGTGTGACAGTAAAATTGCTAAGATGCAAAATATTTTTTACTGTAACAACTGAATATCTCCTATCTTGTTTAAGCAAACATTAAAAGAAGAGTCCCAATGGTTCTGGTGACATGATATACTGGATTATGCAAAACTAACGATAAAAACTTTCATCCTGAGGAGAACAAAGTCTCAAAGTAATATGATTACAGTAAGACGTTGGTAAAACCTTGTGGATACCAGCCTTTGGTAAAGGAAACAATAAATTAAGTTAGACTAACAGCTCCTACAGTAGTCCCATAAAGCTTCATCCGTCCTGAGTTTTATCCTCTCTTACCCCTTACCATGTCTTTTGTTTTGGACTATTGCTACTTCTAACACCACTCACATCAGCTCCTCCATATTTTTTGAACACACACAAAAAAACATCAATGTATTTGGTAAGAACTTGGGAAACTTAACTACCTCATATTTCTAAAGTATTTACACACAGGAACACTTGCTGCTAAACCTTACGTTTGGAATACAAAAGAAACAGCATGTATCCTCCCTGAGTGATTGCACTAAATCATGTTTTGGCCTTAGAAGAATGGATTTCCTCTGCCTTGATATATTGCAGTTTTTTCTTTCTCACATAAAAATCCAGAATGAGGAAACAAAGATGCTGCGCAGAGGAAACAGAGGAATTAAGTCAAAGCTTGAAAAGAACAGAGGATTAAGAACAGGCACTCTGAGCATGAAGCAGTTTCTTCATGTTGACACAATCACATGCTG